TCTCTCCTCTTTTAACTGATTTCACTTTCTCTCTCCTACATTTTTTGATTTTTTTTTTCAAATTTTTCTCTTCTTCCATGGAGATTTTTTATCTCAATTGCATTTGATTATGATTGTGACTCTATTTTCCTCCTTGGTTTACTCGACTCATTTAACAATCAATGTGAGAAATTTTGATTATAATGCTTTGATGTCATAGTTTTTGTTGTATTGATTTTAATTTTGATAATGCTCTGGTTTTAGTATTGTTATTGTTGTTATTAGTTGATTCATATATAGTTTTGGTTGTATTATTCTTCTAATTTGATTCTTATTTGTGTTATTGTTTTTATTTTGTAATTTTGATTGTTGTCTTTCCAGTTTTGTGTGTCTTACATGAACATCTATAGTAATTGTAATAATATTACTAACCAATTATTTTTATTAGCTTGTTGTGTCATATAAAATAATCTTAGTTAAAAAAAATGATCACTTGTGCAATAGTAAATGTTCATTTATGTTTAATGTATTTTTTTTAGTAAACTATAGATTTATTTTTTTTATGATCACTATATATATGTTGTCCATATGAATTTCAATAATTTTCATTCTTTTAAAGATGCTCATATCTATTTTAACTAGTTGATGAACTTATTTTAATATATTTGTTCCCTAAAAAAAATCTTAACATTTGTTATTTTGTTTTGTTGTAATAATGTTCAATTATGCAATCATAAATGTTCATTTATATATATAATTGTGTTTATGGAATTATAAGTTGTACATGTGACGTTTAATGATTATATATCAATATTTATTGTTTTATAAATGATTTTTAGTTATGTAACTATATAGATTATCATTTATATCTTCACATATAGTAATTTAATTGTAAGTGATCAAATGCATTATTGTATTTGATCATTACTGCTACTATATATGTTCATTTGTTACATGTTTATTTATTGCAGTGGGAAAAGAGGATGCTATTAATTTTGAAGAAGCAAATCAGTTTGATTTTTGGGGGAAACAATTTCCTTCTGAAGATGACGCTTATGAAATGTTTAACGAGTATGCTTTTATGAAAGGTTTTGGAATTAGAGTTTGGAAGAGTAAGAGGCAAAGGGATGACTCATTTTCTATGAAAGGATTTATTTGTTCTAATGAGGGTTATAAAGATAAAAAGTATAGCTTAGAAATATTAGGTCCTAAGAGAGACTTAATACAAGAATAGAGTGTTTAGCTTTAATTTTGTACAGTTTTCTATTGATCATTCAGGTGTTTTATGAACATATAGTGTCAAATATTCTAATATATATATAGTTAGTGAATTATTGTTCAAAGTCGAATATTGTAAATGTTCAACCACAAATTCAAGTTGTTAGGAATATTTAGATTTTTGTTTATGAACATATATTTTTTTCCTAATATGAACATTATATATATATATATATATATATATATATATATATATATATATATATATATATATATATATATATATATATAGAAATAGGATCATATGAGACCACCCCCCTTATGTGAGAACCCTATTATATGTGAGGACATATTACAACCGTTGGATCAATTTCATCCAACGGTCATAATACAACCTGGTAAAACAAAGCTCATTTATTTCAAATTCATTTCCTGCGTTTTTTCTCTCTCCTCCTTCTTCCTTTCGCTCAATTTTCTCTCTTCTCCTTCAATATTACGGTTTTCTACTCTGTTGCTCTTTGATTTTTCATCACAAGTTCTTCAATCTTCATCAATTCTTCGTTAATGTGAGTCTATTGTTTATACATTTGCTGTTTTTCAATTAATTTTATGTTACATTCATTGTTTATTTTCGTTTTGATTTTCGTTTAATTTGTTTTGATTATCGTTTTTTTGTTGATTATAGTTTTATTTTCGTTTTCTTGAGTAATTATCAAGTTAATTTTAGTTTTATTTGGCTGAATTTAGGTCTTACTAAGTGTCCTTGCTTTGATTTTGTTGCGATTTTTGCTTGATTTTCGTTTTCCTTTTCGTTTAATTTGTTCTGATTTTTAGCTCATTAATTTTAGGTTACTTTGTGTCGATTATCTTTTAGTTTGTTTTTTTTTTTGTTGATTTTAGTTTTTTTCGTTTTTTTGAGTAATTATCAAGTTATTTTTAGTTTTATTTTGTCTGAATTTAGGTTTTTACAAGTCTTCTTGCTTTGGTTGTGTATTTGAGAAATTATGTTGTGGTTTTGTTGCGATTTTTGTTGCTCTATTGTTTTGTAGAAACTTTACAAGAGCTTCGTGCAAACATTAAGCAGTTGTTTGGAGGGAAAGGGGGGGTGGGAAGTCAAACCGTGGAGACACTCAATTTTATGACTGCTATGATTGATGACACTCAATTAAACTAATCCTTCACCTGGTTTGTAAACAATAACCTGAAATTGGAGTAAAATGCTGGGACAACCTAAAACTTTCATTTCTTCAAAGGATTCTTATTACTTGTTTATACTTTAATATTTCCTTCAGATTTTAATGATTGATGATCTGTTTGTTTGTTTGTTCTGTAGCTTATATAATATTTGTTCTATAACCTGTCGTATGTTGTTTCACAATGGTGATTTGTTTTCATTCTTCTTCATTAATTCCTATATACCCTGCTGGATGTTAGTCAGACCCACTATTAGGACACATAGCCACATAATAATCTACCTTAATTACTATGTCAGCCACATCCTTTCCGTTTTCTACATCCAAGGTTATAATCTATGTTACTCCTCAACTCTTGTTCAATAATTATGAGCGGAGGTTTGTTTATAATGCTTGGATTTATTCTACTATTTTTTTGGATATAGTTGTTTTGTGCATGATCCTATGTAGTGTGCAAAAGACTATTTTTTTGGGGAACGAGTTTAAATTTTCTAGATTATTTGTTTATATCATTTCAAAATCAGATAAACTGCACTGCATCTGCGTGCCTTTAGCCTGTATGTAGTTCAGCACTTCAGCTTTGGCCGGTGTTGAGGTTTTAAATTGCTACTCGATGAGCAGTGGCAACTCTGTATCATAACATAGATTTTCTAATAGCTCGAAAGGAAACCTCAGTCATTTGAAGCATTATTTGAGAGTTAATCCAAAAAAAACCACCACATTATGATGACAGAGGTTGGGAGGTTGTAGTACTAGCATTAACCTTCCACTTTATTCTCTCCCTCATTTCTATAGTCCATGAAGTACAAAGGTGGGAAAGTCAGAAATCTTACGTGAGTTCAATCTAATATGAGAGTTTTACTTATTTGGGCCTTAAGGAAGCTAAAGATTTAGCTGTGAATGAAAGATGAATGATTTGGGAAAAGAGTTTTTTTACACGATGAAATGGAAGGTATATAATGATATAGACTTTTTAAAGTAAATCAATTATGTTTTAAAGTAAATTGAAAGATTAAAATTATGATATCTCAATTTCTTAGCTTCCTCGTTTCTATGTCATGGTTCTTTGGTTGGTACTCTGTTATTAAGAGCTTGTATGTGTTGGATTTGTCTACTCTTAATTTTTGCTTTGTTGTTAGGAAACCTTGTTGTTGTATACAGGTGCTTAAAGTATGTTATAATTGCTTTCGGATCGAAGCTTGTATGTATGTTAAATGTGCTTTGTTTTTTATAATGTCGGGGCTTGGATTTATGGGGCTATAGGCTATTAAAATCTACTCTAGCAACAGTGGATGTTGTATATAACTGTTTTTGTCAATGGCAGGACTATGTATGCTTAATGCTTTAGTTAGGGTCCTTAACTACTGCTACACTTGAAGTACAAAAGAAGGTCTTAAAGATCATAGAGAGCAGTTCCTAAGCATGCCTTATCATAAATCTAAATTGATTAGAGTTTATAGATGGATATATACGAGTTGTTAGTATAGCTCGAAAGAAAACAAAGTTTGGAATGACATTCTAGCAACATGTGTGTAAATTTATAAGATAATGGTTATTTATTCTTTTGGGATTTGATTCAAAATAGCTGAACTCTGAACCAGTTCCCCAAACTGCTAAATTTCCTTTTCTTTTGGTTTGGTTGCTGATTTTTCATCCTTGCCTGTTGTTGCTACATTTGTGTTTGAAGTACCACCGTTCTGTTCTTTGTGCAAAATTTCTGGACCAGAACGGTATTATGGAGAACTCAGTTTACGAAACTTGCTTATTGCTGCTACATTTGTGTTTGATGTACCACGTTATTTTTGCATGAGCTCTTGACTTGAACAGTATGTAGAAGAACTGAGTTTGCAAAACCTGACCTGAACCTATTTGATGTTAGCGTTTGGCTTATAAGCTAGAACTATCGACAAACCAGCAGATAACTACGAATCAACCAAAATTTTTTTGGTCAATTCGTTTGACAGCTCAAGTAGCTCCAATTTTTTTTATATAATAGCTGAAATTATGGTTTTCGTAGTGCCAAAGCACTCTAGATCTCATTGGAAATATTTGTCTGATTTGGTAGTTGTTCTTTAGCTGTGTGTAAAATAAAATAGAGAGAGTTATTTTATCAGGAGTAGAAGCGAAAGCAAGCTAGTCAGCCACCAACTACAGAGAACAATGGCATCATTTCAATTATCCGTTGCCTGCATTATTATCTTTTGACCATTCCAAGCATAGTTCTTTTTTTGTTGATAGCCTCACATATATTTTTCTTTAATAAATAAATATTTCACCACTAAAATTAATGATTGTATAAAATTATTGGTCAAAAGTCGTCTTAATTTCTGTTAAATTATTTGCTCATTTGACAAATGAGCAAACTAATGTTTGCTCATTTCACAAATGAGCAAACTAATGTTTGCCCATTTCACAAATGAGCAAACTAATGTTTGCCCATTTTACAAATGAGCAAACTAATGTTTGCCCATTTTACAAATGAGCAAACTAATGTTTGCTCATTTCACAAATGAGCAACTAACTATTTGTTCATTTGAGAAATGAGCATCTATGTTTTTCCTTATTCGTTAAATCTATGTGATATTTGACTTTTTTTTATGATATTGTATCAGCAGGAATTCTATTGAAAAGGAGTCTGGTGCGAATGCCGGTTCATCAGGGGCGGCTACTGTCGATGCCGGTTCATCAGGGGCTGCTGACGAGGCTGGTTCACCAGGGGTTGTTGCCGAGGCTAGTTCATCAGGGGCTGGTGCCGAGGCTGGTTCATCAGGGGCTGGTGCCGAGGCTGGTTCACCAGGGGCTGTTGCCGAGGTAGGTTCATCAGGGGCTCTAATGGCAGAGGAGAAGATCAGTGAAAAGAAGAAAAAGAAAATCAAAGTAGTTGCTACAAAGGGTAAAGCAAAAAAGGTTGAAAAAAGAGTGAAAGAAAAGCATAATGTGAAGTTTGAGGATCCAGACAGTGAAGATGCTGTTGATGAAGTGCAGAAATCAAAATCTGTTGTTTATGGGACGTTGCGTAATAGGATGTCACCTTCATCTGTTGTTAATGTTTTTAAGGAGTTTTCTGAAGATCAGTTGACTGCCATTAGAGCTATAGGATTTGGGTCTTTGGAGTATTTGAAAGTGTCCCAATTGCCTTTGCAATTGGGTTTTTGGTTAGTCAAGCACTTTGATGCTCATAGTTGTACGTTGAATATTCCTGATTCCGATCCTTTCAAAATTACGGAACAACATGTACATGATGTCCTAGGGCTGCCAGCTGGAGGCATGGAGATGGATGCTAATCTTTTTTCAAAGGATGATAAAGTTATTAACCAGTGGAAAAAACAGTTCCCAAAGAACTCATTATTTGTGAACATTGGGGAACTTTCAATGTACTTGAAGAACCATAAATCAGCTGGGCCAATGTTCAAACGCAATTTCGTAGTTCTTTGTGTTTCCACTTTAATGTCAAGTAGTTTTTTCATTTTCATATTTCTTATTTTAATTTCATTTTGTTCATTTTAATTTCATTTTGCTCATTTTAGTTTCATTTTGCTCATTTTAGTTTTTGTTTGATCATATTTTTTTAATTTTGTTATTTTATGTTAGGAGGACAAAACAAGAATGTTAATCATGACGTTCTCAGATATTTGAGTAATGTTGCTAAAATCAAGGATTTAAATTGGTCGAAGTTTATCCTTGATTCTCTTGTGAAGGCGAAGATCAAATGGGATGAGCTTCCTACTCGCTACTTTCCAGGATCTTTATTATTTCTTATGGTATGTTTTTATGTGTTGCATTTTATTGTTTGAAAAATAGCAGGATCACCTGCAACCCCCCTTCCTCCCTTAAACAAGAACACACACACACACTTACACACACACATACACATAAATACACATATACAAGCACACATACACACATATATGCACACACACACTGACACTGACACATACACACACACAGACACACACAGAGATACACACACACACAGACAGATGCACATACATATATGCACTCACAACCTATAATAGAATCTGAAATCAGAATTGAAATGTGTGGGTAGGTTTCAGTAAGGGCTGGTTCTGGTATTTTCTAAGTTTTATTTTTTTATTTTTTATGCATTAACTGTTATTTATTTGTTTAATTTTAATGTACTAATCTTTTCTATCTTACTTGTTTGTAGCTTTTATATGTTGATCATTTTGTCATTGAGGAAGTTAGAGCGAAACGAGAAACTCCTGTTCTCAAAGGCTGGACAACGAATATGTTGTCTAGCCGTGAGAAATTGGAAATTTTTAAGGGGAGGCTTGGAATTTTCGATAAAAATCTGAAGGTTGTTGGTCCTTCTGGCAGCAAACAACCAAAAATGGTATTTCACTTTCAATCAATACTTAGCTTTTTTGCCTTTTAGAATTAAATTGAATTGGACCAAATCTTGTTAGATTTCATTGCAAACGATCCCAACTTATTCTGACTTTTTTTTTTTTTTTTTTTTTTTTTGCATTCAGGAAACATTTGTTCCAACTGTTCCACAAACTAATGAAGATGTTGAAGTAGATCCAAAGAAGGTATTTATATGATTTTTAATGTAGATCTAATATTAATTTATTTTGTTGTTTAATGACATCCATTCTAACTCAATGTTCTGAATTCTATTATGTGAAGTTTGGTTGGCAAAATTGGGTTGTGGAGTATCAGCAACAGTTGAATAATGATGCAATGTGGCACTCTATTATGGCGCATCAATGGAGTAGAGAAATCAGCAAAAAATTAATTGCTCATTTGACAAATGAGCAAATATTTTACCATTGATTTTTTATTTATGTTTTTTTTATTTAGTCTTTTGTTTTATATTTATCTTATTTATTTATGTTTTTTTTTCTAGAAATGCTTAATGGATCTTGCAGCGTCTTCGACTAAGCTGGTGTTGGCATACATGGACTTTCATGAAAAACATGAACTAGCTGTGAAGCATTTTCCTCACAATGATAAAATACAAAAGCTGAAGGAAGATGCAATGGGTATTTGTGACGAGCAAAGATTGAGTTCTCAAGCTATGCCAGAAAATCATAGCTTTTCTTTTAGCCAAGACGATGAGTATTGGCAAGATCCAGCCGTCATTGAAGCTTGGGATAGATTTTCCAAGATTTCTGCTAATGAGAAGAATGTTGAATCCTCAGTCTTTGCTAGGGCTGATTGTCCAACCGTAACAGGAGCCATTGATGTTACAAAGATTGCGGCTGAAAGTGTTCAGATAGCAAATAGTCTTTCTGAAAATGAAGGTCCTGCTATTGTAGTTGAAACTGAAAAAGTTGTAGGAGGTTCAAGTATTCGATTTGGTTTGAGATCTTCAGTTAAAAAAGGATTTGGAACTCCTACTTTCAGTTTAGGATTTGATGATCCGGAGAACTCCCCAACTATTGTACAACCTTTAGTAGTTGTTGATGGTGATGTTCCTGTACGACCTTCAGTTGCTGCCGATGCTGCCGATGTTGATGTTCCTTGTGCTGTAGGTGGTGCTGATGTTCCTGTTTTGAAGAAGCGTAAAGTTCAACCATCAATGCTGCTTAGATCACCTTTTAAGGAACGAATTATCAACATTTACACTACATTATCAGAAGTTCAGAAAACTGTCTTGGAAGCTCTGTTTGATGATGATAAAAATCGTTTGTAAGTATTTTTATTATTATAGAATTTGCTATCTTGTATACTAATTCATATTTTCTTTAATGATATTAACTTTTTTAATTCCTTTATGCAGTGATCTAGTCTTTTTATCCAAAGTTAATGGAGTGCATGATGTTGAAGTCATGAGATTTCAACTTGAAAAGCTGTATACTCACCTTAAAATTGATTCAGAAATCATTAATGCTTGGTGTAGTATTTTGAATTATAATGAGAAATTTAGAAACTCAAGTTCTCCTGCTCGTTTCTTTTTTAATGTTACTGCTACTGTAAGTTCATATTCTTTAATTTATTTTATTTTATTGAAGTATTTTACAGTATTCCAGTTGTATTAATTTTTTTTTTTTAAACATGTAGGAGTGTCTTGTTCATTATGAGATTGATTTTGTTAGTTATCGGAATACTATATTTCGTGAGGTTGCTCAGAAGTTATACAGCCAAAGTGTTGTCCCAAAGAAGGACATTCAACTTTTCTTCTTCCCAGTTTACGAAATAGGTCATTATTTCTTGGTATGTTTCAACACTACCACAGAGCATGGTAATATTGAGGCTATTGATTATAGTGAAGATTCCGGAGATCATACACAGCTTTTAAAACATTTGGTACGGTTTAAAAGTTAATTTCTATTAACATTATGTTTGCTTATTTCAGTAAAATTATTAGATTTTAAAAATATATATTATCTTTTCTCATTTGACATGTTTATTTTCAGATAAGTGCATTTTGCAATTTTATGCAATATGAAGGAAATGTACAGAGCTCTGTGTTGTCAAGTGATATCAAGCGCATGGAGCATGTTACACTTGATTCTCCTTGGAAGTCTACATATAATAATCATTTGCACTGTGGAATTGCATTGATGAGGATTATGGAAACATACATGGGTTTGTCAAAGTGGGCTTCAGGTTTGAAGAAGAATAATGTAAGTCTTTCATCTTATATGAATTGTCCTTAGATACTTGTTTGCTGGATTTTACAAGGCGTACAATTTTTACTTGTTAATTTCTAATACTCTCTGAGTTTATAAGAATATGGATATGTAAAGTGCAAATTTGAATGATAAAGAAAATTCATGATAATAAAAGGATATTAGTATGTTTATATGCACCACCAAAATATTTTTTTTTATTATTCTTATATAGAAATTTAAATAAATCTTGCTCATTTGTCAAATGAGCAGCCAATAATTTGCTCATATTTCAAATGAGCAAGCAATTATTTGACTGAATTAATTTGAATTCTGTTTATTGTTTGAAAAATAGCAGGATCACCTGCACCCCCCTTCCTCCCTTAAACAAGAACACACACACACACTTACACACACATATACACATAAATACACATACACACACACACAGATACACACACAGACACACACATAGATACACACACAGACACACACACATAGATACACACACAGACAGATGCACATATACACACACTGACACAGACACACACACACAGAAACACATGCACATACTTAAACTGGCATCAACTAGTGCTCTAGGCTGTGGATTATGCATCCTTGATAAGTGAAATTTTCCAAGCTTCCATCTGTTTATGCATAGCAGAAAAGGTAGCACACTAAGGCAGCTTTCTACTCTGGTTTTTTTTTTCTCTCTTGAAGTAGAGGCTTTGCACCAACATTTCAATAATTAAAAAAACAGAACATAATTTCCACAACTTCTAATAGAATTCTGTTTATGTCCAATATAAGTAGCAGATGGTTCTGAGTGACCTTGCACACCAATCATCCACCTTCCCTTTTCCAACTCAGATGAAACTTGGACTATAAACTGTAGAGCAATTGAACCAAAATTCAGTGAACCCAGTGAACCTTTAGCAAGATTTCAAGCTACTTTTCTTTTTAAATAAATGTAAAGGAATCAGAATTTGGGTTTCTTATTACTTATTCTATTCTTCTTCTACGTGCTTCGTGCTTCACCCTGCTTTATACATTTATATTTTTTAAAATTTTCTTGTTTTATTTTTTCTTTCCTATTTCTTACAGGTGATAATCATGGAAAAACTTCGTGTGAAGTACACCTTAGCAATAATTTCAAGCGAAATAAACACAATTCAATCCGTTAAAGAAATTCCTCAAAAGAAGAAAAAGCAGAAGAAAGTTTCTCCTAAGACTGAAGAAGAAAAAGTTGAAGAACAAAAGGGTGAAGAAGAAAAAGCTTAAGATGAAAAGGCTACTTGTTAGTGTTACCTCAATATTTTGCTTGGTGTAGTATTGATTAAGGTGTTGACATAGCTTTCTAATTTTAGGGAAGTAGAGAAACAATGATTTAATCAACTTGTAAATTGTTATTTTTTGAATGATGTAAAAATGGTGACTTTTGATTATGGTGACTTTTGTGTTTACCTGAAATAATTTGTCATTTATACCTACCGTTTTTTTGAACTATTTGTTGATTTACAAATGAGCAACGAACTATTTGAGAAAATAAACATTTGCTTATTTGCTTATTTGAGCAAATAAACAAAGAACAATTATTTGCTCAAGGGTAGAGCAAATTATTCTTTACTCATTTGACAAATGAGCAACTAACTATTTGCTCAATTGACAAATGAGCAAAGAATAATCAACTCATTTGAAAAATAAACAAAGAACAAATTACTCATTTGACAAATGAGCAAAGAATAATTTGCTCATTTAACAAATGAGCGAAGAAATGCTTGTTTATTTAATGAATGGTTAAAAATAAATTTTGCTTATTTGACAAATGAGCAACTAACTATTTGCTCATTTGCTAAATGAGCAAAAAATTGATTGTTCATTTTCCAAATGAGTAAATAATTGATTCTGTTAAGAAATATAAAATCAACAGAATATTAACAAAATTTAAAACACAAATTTCCAGGATCTTTATTATTTCTTATGGTATTTTTTTATGTGTTGCATTTTATTGTTTGAAAAATAGCAGGATCACCTGCAACCCCCTTCCTCCCTTAAACAAGAACACACACACACACTTACACACACATATACACATAAATACACATACACACGCACACAGACACACATATATGCATTCACACACACTGACACAGACACACATATATGCATTCACACACACTGACACAGACACACACAAACAGATACACACATAGATACACACACACAGAGATACACACACAGACACACACACAGACAGATGCACATACACACACACTGACACAGACACACACTGACACAGACACATACACACACAGACACACACGCAGACACACACAGAAACAGATGCACATACTTACACGCACTCACAACCTGTAATACAATCTGAAATCAGATTTTGTAATTAGATTCAGAATTAGATTTTGAAATTAATTTATGGAATCAGTAACACTTTTTTTGGACAATTTCTAATATCATGGTGACTCAATTCACCACAACCTCTACATAATCTCTTCTTTTTCTGGTTTTGTTCTACAACCTTTTCTTTTTCTCCCTTAAGCCTTTTTGCACTTCTACCTCTTGTTTCAACATTTGGTACATCAATCCCAGCCCCTTTCTCTTTTGAAGTCTCTTCATTTGATACATGAACTCCAGTCCCTTTATTCTTTGAAATTTTTGGAGGTTTGAAAATTATTTCAGTTGGCACACTAGCTCCAATCAATAGCTCAATGTCTTGTGCTTTGTTGTTTGCACTTCCTGTTGTTTCATTATTTCTTGCAATCCTCTTAGCTTCCAAATCCTTTCTTATTCCTTGAAGATTTATCACAAGATCTTGAATATCTTCATCATTTCCTTCTGCCAAACTTATACAAGTGTGTATCTCTGACCATAAGTCATTTAACAATTTTTTCTTGTCAATTAAATTAGCACATTGCTCCAACAGGTTTCCACCCAAGTCAAAAATTGGTTTTTTTAGTGCCATAGTAATCCATCTGTGTAGCATATACTGCTCAGGAATGGTTTCAAACCTTTTTGCTTTCCAAACCCAAATCATATGTCTGCATGGAATACCTTGTCTATAAAACAACTTGCAAGAACATGAGGTGTCATAGTTAGTTGGATTAAACACAACATCAAATGTTCTAATTCGATTTCCTTCACTTACTTTTGCAACTTCCAATCCATTTTCTTTCTTCAATTCATCAACACCACAAGAAAAACAAGCAATTTCAACCTCATATTGAAATTCATAAAAGACAGAGTTAGTATATAAATGCGAGGCATGTTTTTCTATCCCTAGTGGTGTTTTGCACTCAGGATATTTGTGCTTTGAATCATTATCATTTTGACCTTGAGTGTGTCTCTGGGCATCAATTGCAGCTTCATATCTCAAGTAAAACTCAACAAGTGACACATGAGGATTGATAAAGGAGCAGAAAAAGTTGTTTTCGCTTTCGGATCTTGATGTTGTACGCATTATTCCTCCAAGGAACACATCTCTGAAATACGCCGGAATCCACTTGTTCCTTATCTTGTACATATAACCTAACCACTCATGTTCTTCCAAGTGGTATTCAACCATCACCTTGTTCCACCTTTCTTCAAACTCAGCAGGTTCAATTTCAAGATGCCAAACACAAGCACATAATTTTTTTAGGAAACCAGTTTCTTCTTGCATGATTGATTTCTCCACCTTATCTGGTAACTTTTTCATTATGTGCCACATACAGAACCGATGTTCAGTCTTGTTAAACACACTTTTAACAGCAATTTTCATTGCTGGATCTTGATCTGTAATCATACAATTCGGTTCATTTCCACCCATTGCTTTAAGAAATGATCTGAACAACCACTCAAATGACACTATATCTTCCTTCGCTATGAAACCAGCAGCAAAAGTAATGCAACTCTTATGATGGTCAACCCCTGTAAATGGAGTAAACACCATGTTGTACCTGTTTACACATACAGATTAAATTTTAAATGATCAAATAATTACACACACACATACATACACACACATGTACTTAGACACAGACACACACACGCACACACACACACATACACATACATACACGCACTCACAATCTGTAATAGAATCTGAAATCAGATTATGAAATCAGAATTGTCATCAGCTACTGAAATAATTCAATGCTCATTTGACAAATGAGCAAATAATTGATTTCTCATTTGTCAAATGAGCTTATAACTCAATGCTAATTTGTGAAATAAGCAAACAATTGTTTGCTTTTTTGTCAAATGAGCAAATAATTGAATGCTCATTTCTGAAATGAGCAAATAAGTCAATGCTCATTTGTGAAATAAGCAAACAGTTATACTAAGTTCATTTAAAACAAAGTTATTAATTTAAGCTATATTTATAACATAAAAATGAATTGTGATTTTTATGAATTACCTATTGGTTTGGTATGTGGTATCAAAGGATACCATATCACCAAAAAGAGCGTAACTCTTTTTACAAAGGGGGTCAGCCCATAATGCTCTACAAAGGCAATAATCTTCATCCATCTCAAAATCAAAGAAAAAAGCGCTCCACATTAGCTTTTTGTTGGTAAAGTTATCCACGAACATTTGAGCATCACTTCCTTGAATGTATGCTTTCAAATCTCTATGAAAATTTTTGAAATCTTGCTTAGATGCACCGATGTTATCATATCCTCCAACAATTTCCTTCATCATTCGAAAAGTTGCAACAGGACCAATATTCACCTATTTAAAGAACAAAACAATTTGTCAAATGAGCAAATAATTTAATGCTCATTTTTCAAATGAGCATACTACTTTTATTAGAACATACAGAGAATTCATGAAACATAAGAGACTTTGAAAGTCGTACCTTAGAATTATTCACAATTATTTTTTTGTGCAATATGTTCATTTTTCTTCCTTCTTTTTGGAAGAGATTGCAACTAGGTGTATAAAGTGCATGAGTATGTCCCTCATGAAATTGTGACACTATGAATTTGTTATCATCACAATGCTTTATGACAATATGTGCCTTGCACCCAACACGAGTAACGAGTCTCTTCCTTTTGATTGAAGTTTTTTCTTCATTGCTTTCTCCTTCGTTGTTATTTGAATCTTTTTCAACAGTAGGCTTTCTTTTCTCTTTGTATCCTTCTTTATTGCATAAGATATAATGTGATTTCAATTCTTTGCTTCTTCTTTGCCTTTTAGTTGTAGACTTTCTTGTGTTGAATCCAGCAGCAAATGCGTATCTTTTATAAAATTCAAGGCCCTCTTCAAGATTATTAAACTTCATCCCTATAGCTGGTTTCAACTCATTGGGGCATATTGGAAGCCATTCTTTTGTTCCTCCAGGAGTGAGCAAAGGTGCTACTTTAGGAGAAACTACTATTGTAGGAGTAGTTGCCACATTTGTGATGGTACTAGAATGACTGTCAAGTTCTTCGTTGTTGCTCATCATTTCTGACATTAAATATAATAGAAATAACAGGTTAGTAACAATTCCATAAAATAGTTTAAGGAAGCTCATTAAAAATCTCATATGTGTTGCTGAATCATGTTTTTAACCATACTAATTACTACTTACAGCAGAACTCTTACACTTACTCACACACACACACACACACACAAAATAATTTCAGAATCTAAAATAGATCTAAAATCAGATTCAGAATCAGAATTGCAAACAGAAAGATGAGGGGGGAGGGGGGAATAGGTTTGTATAAGGAAGTGTAAGAAGGGAGTGTGGTTGGTGTGCAGGAAACAGACCAAGAAGAAGGGGGGTGGGGCTTGTGTGCAGGCAAGAAAACCAAGAAACTCAATGCTTTGATAGCAGAAACTAGATGATTTGAAAAGGAGTAAAAGTTGATAATGCTACCCTTCACTATGATTTGCAAAACCTAGCATATATAGCATTCAGTATAGCATATTTGCCTACAAAAACCATACATTCTTAGACACACACACACACACACACACCATAGCACACAGAAGTGCTCAATCTAAGAAGCACAACCACTTGCTCATTTGATAAATGAGCAATCAAATATTTGCTCATTAGCTACAGCTACCTCTTTCATTTTCATTGCTTCTGCAACTTAAATATTTGGATTTGCTCAATTTAATTATGTTTTCTCATTATATGTTTTTTATATTATTACAAATATTTAGGTTTGCTCATTTTATATTCATTTGCTCATTTTAAATTTGATTGCAAATTTTCAATTTCTATCAAATTAATCAAACCTAAATTGTTGATTTAATTCAAAAAATTTCAAAGAAGTAAATTCAATCAAATCCATAATTGATGCAATTAAACAAGCAATTCAATGAGAACAGAACAAACCACAAAAATCGAAAATTATCATGCAATTAACATGCAATTCATAACCTGGCGATTGATGCAATTAAATATGCAAATTAATAAGAACATAACAAACCAAAAAATCAAAAATTATCATCCAATTAACATTCAATTCAATAACCTGGCGAATTTGATTTGTAGCAGCGATTGCAATCGCGATTAGTAATATAGCGCAAGGCGAGCAAGGTCGGTGTGAACTTGCTTATGATTACTTTGATGAAGCAATTGATGAAGCAATCTGAAGCAATGAGAAACAGCGTTACTGATTAGGCGCCATTGATGAAGCTCTTGGTGGAGAGAGAAGTTAGTTAGCTAGGTGGAGAGAGATGACAGTTAGGTGTGATTTTAGGAGTTTTATGTGATTAATCACATGCGTTGGATTGAATACAATTTGATGGCTGAGATTGATTCTCACATATAGGATGTGTTCTCACATAGAAGGTGGTTCTCACCGGATCCCGACCCTATATATATATATATATATATATATATATATATATATATATATATATATATATATATATATATATATAAAAGGATGTGAATCTGTAATAATATATATTTTTGAAAAAAAGAGTTTATTTCCTTCTTATTAAATTCAAATAGAAATTGTATATCACCAAAAATTCAAATATTGGATATTAAAATATACATCACATCAATTCCACACATATTGTTATACATAATGAATTCTCGATCCAAAATTGAAAAAATTCAAGCTCGTGTTATTGGTTCGTGTTGCGCGAATCCATGCCTTCTTGATTTATTTATTTTGTCTTCCCTTTTTTTCCTTGCTATTGTGTGGTGCAACTCACTATATCCACAATTCTTTGTTTAACTAATATACAAAAACAAATGAATTATTAGTTAGATTTGAGCAAGAAGAAGTGTTGAATGAATTGAACCAATTTTCATATGAATAACAGTATAACAATTGAAATAAACATATATTAATATAAAATGAACATATATTAGTGTAGAAATGATCATCTATTAATATGGAAATCAACAACTATTAATACATAAATGAACATATTTACATGATTGAATATGAAAATGAACATCTATTAATATATAAATGAACATGCATTAGTTTAAAAATGTCTATGGAAGATATCAATCAATGAACATGAAATATATACATAAATAACTTTTGAAGCTATTAATACGTGATTTATCATATATCCATAATAAAAAAGACATATATTGAAACTCAAAACTGATTCGAGCATGATATATTTTAAGAAGATCACCAAAATATAAATATTTATCAAAATTCTAATGATCGTATATTAATATGTGAAAACCATATACATTTATGTGATTGAACATCTACCAAAATACAAATGAACATTCATCAAAATAATATTCCACTATAAACTATGAAAAAGAATGAACATATATTATGACTATGTAGTAATATATAATTGAACATTTATATTAATGATTTATTTTGTGAATGACTGTTTACTAATATATAAATGAACATTTATCAAAATGGAAATGAACATTCATTGGAAAAAAAATTAAAAACCCATTACGAACTAATTTATATAATGCTTACTTTTCTCCAAATTCTTTGATGTTCTTCTCTGAAACTATTTCCTTCGTACTACACAAAAAAAAAAGTAAAAAAAAAAAACTTCATATACTCAAAAATCAAAATGCACTTGTTCAGATCACTAGTTTTAAACGAAAATTATTAAAAATTACTTAAATGCAATAGTTCATACTTTTTTTCCATTTTATATGCTTTGATGATATTCCTGTAAGGATGTAACACAATTGCAACAAAAAAATTATTATAACTAGAGTTTATATACTCTTTTTCGAACTAAATATGTATACAATCACTTACTTCTTTGAATTTCGACCTTGATTTGTTGAATTCTATAGTAATTGAACAATTCTTTTGATAATTTGTCACAATTTTGTAGAAATTATCGTATTTTTAAATGCAAAAAATTGGTTTAGAGAGATAAAATGCAGAAAATGGGTTAGGAGAGAGAAAGTAAAATGCAGAAAATAGGTTAGGAGAGAGAAAAAAGATATGAGAAAGGTGGTTTGATTTTTTTTGTTTTTATTTATATGAGGGGGGGGGGTAAAATTAATACAGATACTAATTTTAGGGAAGGGTGTAGGGTAATATGCGTAGACTAGTGTCTAGCCATATATAATTAGACATATCACAATGGGCTTGTCATAAACACTGTCCAAACAAATTAATGTTGTATAAAGCCCAATATACACATAATTTATTAAAAAAAAAAAATTTAAAAATGGAATAAAATGGATCAGATAAATGTTTTGGACCGTTGGCTGAAGATGACCACCACCGCCGGCGAATCGTCGATTTTCCGCGGCTGCGTAGCCCCTCAAAAACCATCAAATTCCCTCAATAAATCCAAATTTCCCGCCAAAAATCCGCCTTCAACCGTCCAATTTGGCGCCAAAGCAGCTCCCTTTCTCTGTCCTACCTCTGCTCTTCCACCCACTTCAGGTAATTCATCACATACTTGCTTCTTTTATAAAATTTATTTACATTCAATCAATTTTTGTGGGCATTTGATATGTGTTAGTTATTTGTTCTTGTAAAATAATTATTTTCTGCATTTGAAGAATAAAGAATACAACAATGGATTATATATAGAGTTTATACTTCTTTTTTTAGAAGGGGAATGGTATAGTTTAAAGAGTTATGATAGATTAAGGTTCATGAAGATACTAATTACTAAGTACTGATTAAACTAATTCACACTGAAATACTAAATTTGACCCGAATTGCAACTGATTTGATTATTTCATCAATTTTCAAACAATACATGTCAAAATTTGCAGTTGTAAATGTACCAGTTATGAGTTATTACTATACTTGTTTTAAGAAAAAAAAAAAAAACAATTTTGTTGATTTTTTATACAAAATAATGGTAAAACACAGATATGTAACTTGACTGATTATTACTTGTACATTTTAGCTTGACTTGGCCAATGGATTTAAGATATGCACTCTTAGTTTGATCTTGTGTTGAAATGCTTAATGCTTTGTTGACAGATAGTTATGAAAATCTCGGTTCGTGTGGGAGGAGAGGACTCATTTTCCTTTCTGTCACTCTACCTTCTTTATTCCCTTTGCAAGAATATGTCAAAGATTGTAATGCTGAAGCAGAAGAGTGAGTTCATATGTTCTCCTGGTGCTTTTGGGTCTGTTTTTTCCATCTTCATGTTATAGCATAGTTTGTGATCTTTTTTGAATTGATGTTTAAGCATAGTTACAGGGTTCTTTTAGTAACTACTGAAAGGTGTGCTTTTCAGCCTGAATTTTCCTGCCTCAACTTTGTAGATAAGTACATGTTAGATTTAATGTAAAAAACTATCTTACATGACCAACTTTGATCCAGTATTCCACTATTTGCATGCTTTTGCCTCACTTGAGTATGTCCTCATCAATGACAGAATTTCAGAAGCTCCTGATTCTGTGGAATTTTAAAATGGTTTGAACTTAAAAGTGATGTGATGAATCTATGATATCAAATTATCTTAGTTTGTGTATTCCAACCTTAATTTAATTCATCATTTTGGATTCACCAAGATCTGTTAACGTTTTTCTTTTTTTTTTCTCAACTTTATGATATATATGAAGGCTGGGAGCTCCTGATTACCTACTTATAAAGGATGAGATAAGGAAGGTTTTGTCCAAAGGAAAGGCTGCTGGTGTACTTCGTCTCGTGTTTCATGATGCAGGAACCTTTGAGCTCAGTGAGAATTCAGGTATTTAAGGGACTGTTACTGGGTTAAAGAACTTGTAACTTGGTCCTGAATTCTTGTTATCCTAGCTAGTATCTACATGATTTAATCCAATTCTGGTACAACTTGGTTTAAGCTAGACTGTCAACAATTATATGGAGCTGAGTAAAACAAACAACACATCCCTCACAAAATGTAACTACAGCCTTAAATTTTTGTGAATACAACTTCTGAATACTATTGAATTCTGCTGATACAAGTATACAACAAAGAGATAAGCATGACAGATGTCTCCATGACCTGGTTTATTGAACCCATTGTCATGATAGAATAAAACTTTTAGTATCTATAACGGTATATTGTAAAAATTATATGGCATAGATAAACCTTATTACTCTTTATTAATCTAGAGCCAACTTGGCACTACTAATTTTGACGCACCCTTATCAATTATCATACCCTGGTTTTTCTGTGTAGGAGGTATGAATGGCTCTATAACATACGAACTTGAAAGACCTGAGAATAAAGGGCTAAAAAAGTCTCTCAAGGCATGCTCCTCCTAACCTCAAAATGTTTCATGATTTCATATTTGGTAATATTTGTATCCCTGGATTTCACATCATGCAAATATTTGCAGTTGCATGTTGCATCATTAGGGAAAGCCTGTTCTATGGGAATTTATTTATACATGTCATGTCTGCTCCACTCTAATATGACAGTAACCTCCTAACTTGTCATCGGATGCCTGTTTTAGATCATTGAGAAAGCCAAAAATGTAGTGGATGAGAGACAATCAGGTGAGCTGGTTGTTGACAATTGTTAAAAAGTTCGAGGATGTATTAGAACTTTTATTCAGGTAGGCTTATTAGTTATAATTTATTTTGTTGTGCAACTAGTGTCCTGGGCGGACATGATTGCTGTAGCAGGAGCTGAGGCAGTCTCAATTTGTGGAGGTCCGGATATTCCAGTTCGTTTGGGAAGACTTGATTCGCTGTAATCTCTTTACCCTTGGCTTGAGAGTGCCTGTGTATAAAGCTTTTAGTTTAATTTTTTTATTACTGTTGAGTTTCATTTTGGATATGTAATAATTCTTAGAATGGTGATAATATGGGCATGATGTATCTTTTAGAGGGCTTTACAGAAATTGTCATTGGGCCCTTTCATATTGCCCCTTATGCATTGACATACCCTCTCTATATTGCATTATTAAGAGGCAAGAGGATAGAAATATATTCCGGGTCACCGTTGTACATGCTCTTATGACTACCTGCTTATTTCATTTTACAGGACTCCTGATCCCGAAGAAAAACTACCTGAGGAATCACTGGATGCACCAAGCTTAAAACAGTGCTTTCAAAGAAAGGGCTTTTCGTGAGTGCGTATACTTAGATTGAACTTCTTTAAAACTTGATACTTAATCAACATAGGGCCATATTGCTTTCAAACCACCTCATCTGTTACAGTTTATTTCAAGATTCATGACACCAGGTTCCAAATCTTGATTTGGAAAATACAGCCGAGTTTAATGGTCCTTTTATAATGTTAGTATGAAGCATATTAATCCTAATTAGGTCTTATGTCTGTCACTAGTTTTTTTTTTTTTTCCCTGACTCTGAAACTGCAAATAAAAGCTTGGATTTAAGTTTGGGCTGCCATGTTTTGAGCCAACCTACTTACTGAGAATTCAGCACAGAACTTTAGTAATTCACTATCAGGTTGTTCCTGCTGAAGTTCTTTTCGCTGGATACAATAGTCGCACTATTTGGAATGTCCGGAGATCTTAGTCACTTAACCAAATGTATGTTGATTATGATGGGATTTCTTAAGATATCTCCACTTAATTGAGTGAAATCTTGATAGGTGTCACACGACTATTGTAAGAGGCGTTTTGAGTAAACCATGTGGAGTCCTTTATTATGAAGAAATCAGACAACTTTATCAACAATCATTCCTGGATTGATAGAATATCAAGTAACTAAGAACTCAATTAATTGCCCCTTAAAGTTGCTGGCATTTTACAACTGCTTTGATTACTACTGATTAAATGATTGCATCATGCATGCTGTGCTTAACTTGTATTGTACTCTGTATCCTTTTTTTTTATTTAGTTTTTCGTTTAATCTAAACCCTGCCCTACATTGTGAACAGTACACAAGAACTTGTTGCTCTTTCTGGGGCACATACTCTTGGAAGTAAAGGTTTTGGAAGCCCCATCGTATTTGACAATTCATACTACAAAATTCTCCTTGAGAAACCATGGCTGTCGTCAGGTCAGTCAGCTCACATCATTAAATTCTTATTGAGTAATGTGTTTTAATTTGCAAATCCACAATCAAAGAGAATAATAGGATAACTTGAATTGCTGTTGCCCTTCCTTGTATGTTAATAGTTCAAGGAACTTAAAGTTTCTACTGCTAAGCATAACTGGTATTTCTGGCGCAGCCAGCATCATATATGATATCATTTCACCCGATCTGTAAGGCTTTTTGGCATAAGTTAATATATGACTTCACAGAAGTAGAGGAACAAGTGACTACTAGTATTGCACATTTGCACCATTTGGTGTAAATTCTGGAATCAGGCAAATTGCACTTTCATATGCTTATTCAACTGAGGAAAACAGTCTTATAATTCTTGAATTATATGATGAGCATACTAAGTAAATCAGATTCAGATATGCGGTTTTCCAGCAACTGAAATTACTGAGTGGATTTCAGGATCAATTTCTGCATGTGATGATGTACACTAATGGTTACTTGTCAATTACATTCCCTGCTTTAGGAGTTCTCATTAAATGTTGTTCCTTAATTCAGCTGGAATGTCAAGTATGGTTGGACTTCCTTCGGATCGTGCATTAGTAGAGGATGATGAATGCTTAAGGTCAGATACTTTCCCTTTGATGATGATTTCATCATTATTTTCTGCATTAAATTGCCTTCTTTCTAATTTCGGGTATTGCAACAGCAAACCATAATTCCTGCTTGGTCTGTGCCTTACCTAACATGATACCGTTTCTAGCATAAAAGTGCTTGCATCTTATATGGGCATAGCATCTTTTCTTCACAGTTGCTGGAATCCTTAGATATAGGTTTTGTTACCTAGTGTACATAGCTTACTAATCATTTTCCACAAACAATAGTTCTCTTATTTTCCTTCGTTTGGCTTGTAAAAAGGTGAATAGCTCTCCGAAGGGTGAAAGGGAAAAATGCCACAATTTTCTCCCTATATCCTCTCCAATCTTATACTCTTTAGAACAATTGAACCAAACACAGCCTTAGTGCTCCATATTTGTATGAGCATTGATCATTGCACGAACCTTGGTTAAAAAAACCGTATAATCAAAACACCTGCATCAAAAATACTTGTTCTTGCTGCTGTAGAAGTGCTAATGCCTAATGGCAACATTGTTTCAAGTGCAGATGGATTACAAATTACGCGAATGACCAGGATAGATTTTTTGAGGATTTTAAGAATGTCTATATCAAGTTAGTCAATTCTGGTGTAAGGTGGAAATCTTCTTGAGCATATGCTCCAACTGGAGCTTCCAAGCGAAAATATGGTGATACTTAACATCTTGAAAAGGATTTTGCACTTTCACTGCTGCTATGGATCATGGAAGGATTAGATCATACACTTTATTTTTAGGTGAATAGGGAAGATAATCTGTACTATTTTTATCAAATTCGTATTAATTTGTACTATCAATTAAAACTAGCTGTAGGGCGGGCTTTATCTAATTGCTCATTTAGGAAATTTCCTAGGTTGTTTGAAACTGGCTTCTTACCTTGGATAATATTGGTGATGATGGTATTGCTTGAAAATGACATTGAATGTTGGTTCTGCAATTATGCAATGCATATAATCTTATTTAAAAAAAAAAATCATAAGTAGAACAGTAAGAACACATTTTTATCATTCACTCTAGCAAAGTAAATTTTTGACATTGATGTCTCGGGTTTAAAATTTTGATGCTTACAAAAAAATGAAGTTTAATCGTATGTTAATATGTAGCAACGAAATTTATGCAATATACTACGTATATGAAGTTATATATTCATGAAAACTAAAATTGGCGGAGTTGTTTGATTGACAAAAACAAACTAACAAGCATATAATATACCAAAGAAGTATACAGGAGAGTAGGAGACATCCTCAAACACAGTTTAGAAAACATTCAGAATTATATTGATATTATTAATAAAAATTGACCCAAGTTTAAACTATTAATTAAACTATCATTATTTTATTTTAGTAAATCCAAAGCTAAGAAATATTTAATCATGAAATTATCTTCTTTTAAGTTGAAAAATATAATTCCAAACACCTAAGTCCAAAATTAGAGGCTGTCTTATGTTTCCTGAAACTGGGGCTAATTGACCAAATATGTCCAAATAAAATACTATAAAAAACTTTCAATATGTTTTAGACTTTTATTATCGTGTAATATCAAGCATCTATCGTCGGTGCTTAGTATTGAGTTTTCCTACATTGGAATGTTGTGCTACATTTCCTACAATTTTTTATTTTTTGTTATCACATCCAACAATATTAGTATAATATGATAAAAGAGTACACTCCAAATTTTCTTAGTAATTTTAGTTCCTTTTTCTTCCCTCTTTGGGGCCTTGGTTTAGTCATTGCATGATACACCCATGTGCTTTGGATGGCTCAAATCAAGCTTGATTCTTACTTTGATCCCTTACAACAACGCCGGATTTTCTCTCTTGCGAACACATTATGTCGTGACCTTCAGGTTTCAAAATTTCACGAAATATAATTAAGGTACTCGTGATGAGATATCATTGAGCTTTCGTCTTATAAATTTTGTCATTAAATTATGTTATACTTGTATGAATTGTCTAACTTACCATTTAGAAGTTAGCCACATAATTTATTTTTAATATCGAAGCGGACTCATTTATTTATGAAGGTACATTGTGTGATTAAATCATATAATGCATAATTTTATAATAAATCAACTTTTATTAGACACAGCTTAGAGAGGGTCCCTGATATAAAGCTAGAGGCCAGCAAACAAGAAAGTGATGCTAATTAGTTGAATTAAAGTGACAATTGAGAAACTGTAGCCATCATTAGGTTGAAATTAAAGGAAATTGGGATAATTATAAATTTATCAGTCAATTGAGATGTTTCTAGAAAATTAATTGTATACTTTCTTTGCTCAAATTTCATTGCTGGTTTCATACATACATACTACATATTCAACATTTTAAACTGGTATAAAGGTCTTTTTTAGGCTTTTTTTGTTACTCAAATTTCCCTCTATTCTGTTTTTTTTTATTATTATTATTATTATTATTATTGTACTTAGTTACATTTTATGCGGTCTTCAAAGCACATGTTTGACCAATTATATCTTTAATTAACTAAGTGATAGTATAAATTATTAGTATAAAATTGATATTCGCTCAGTCACTTTTTAACCTTTATGCTTTGACAATTTCTCACTAAAATATTACAAATGTAATGATTATAAAGTAATGGAGAAAGTATTTGAATTGATAGCTACACATTTAAACAAATCTAAAAACATCCAAGATAATATTATTTGTTTTATACAGAGTGTCGGAGTAATAATAAGAGAGTAGAATTAATAAAGATCAAATGTAGTATGTAGATTACTATATATGCTAATTTATATCATCAATTTTTTTTTATTTTTTTTATTTTATATGCATGCAATACTTCTTTAGTTTCTTAATAATTGCAATACTTTGATTTTTACAATGTTTATACTATCTAATTAACTTGACTATACATGGTGATTTATACTTGATACTATTTAAGAGGACATATAAACATGTATAGTCATGTACTCATGTGAAATATTGTTAGATTTATATGAAATATTATTTTATTATATATTTTCAAAATTAATAATTTTTTTTACGAGGATAATTAATTTAATTAGAAAACCCTTCTTTCTTAATTTTTTTTTCTCAACTGTACTAATAATTCAAACCAAATAGTGGATGAATTGACAATGATAAAGTATAAAACATATTCTTGGGTCTCAACCATCAGCTTAAACTTTTGGTTGAATTGGTCCTCTAACATGGTATCGAAGCCAGCGTGACATAAAGGTATGTGAGGGGGCGTGAATGCCGAAACCTCCAAAATTTCTCAAAAAGCATGGATATTAGCCTTCAATTTTGGAATTTTTTGACTTTTTCACTCGGAAAAAAATTGTCGAAATGTTTACCATGGTCCATAATACCCTCCAGACTCCACCTAGCTAGGTGCTATCATCAATTTGTCTTTAAACAATCGATTTATCGGTTTACAACTTGCACTGATTTCATTAAATCAAGCCTACCACAAATATTTATGACAACAAAAAATAATCATATATGGTTCCAAACGAAATTAAATGACCCCGAAATGTATTCCCTAAAATTTCAAGACTTTTCAACACCGGGCCCTGAAACCTACAAAATTTCTCAAAAAGCGTGGATATTAGACTTCTATTTTAGAATTTTTTAACTTTTTTTCTCACAGAAATAAAAATTGCCGAAATGTTTATTATGGTCTCTAATACCCTCCGGGGGTCCAATTAAGTGGGTGGAACTATCCAATTTGCCTTTAAACGGCCAATTTACCGATTTACAACTTGTATCGATTTTATTAACTCAAGCCTACCACGAACATTTATGACAAAAAATAACGACCATATATGGTTCCAAACGACATTACTTTATTACCCCGAGATGTATTCCCTAGAATTTCAAGACCTTTCGACACTGAGACCCGAAACCTTAAAAATTTAGCAAAATGTGTGGATATTAGTCTTCAATTTTGGAATTTTTTGACTTTATTTCGCTCAAAAACAAAAATTGCCAAAATATTTACCATGGTCCCTAATATCCTTCGGGAGTCCAATTGGGTGGGTGGAACCATCCAATTTGCCTTTAAACAGCCAGGTTACCGGTTTACAACTTGCACTCATCATTAACTCAAGCCTACCACGAACATTTATGACAACATATAATGATCATATATGGTTCCAAACGGCATTATTTGACCACTAGAAGTATCCCCTAAAATTTCAAGTCTTTAAGACACCGGGCCCCGAACACACCAAAATTTCTCAAAAAGCGTGGATATTAGCCTTCTATTTTGGAAGTTTTTGATCTTTTTCCGACCATAAATAAAAATTGTCAAAATATTTACCATGGTCCCTAATACCCTCCGGGAGTTCAATTAAGCGGGTGGAACCATCCAATTTGCCTTTAAACGACCAATTTACCGGTTTACAACTTGCACTGTTTTCATTAACTCAAGCCTACCACGAACATTTGTGACAACATATAATGATCATATATGGTTCCAAAAGGCATTATATGACTCCGAGATGAATCCTCTAGGATTTCAAGTCTTTAAGACACCGGGCCCCGAACACACCAAAATTTCTCAAAAAGCGTGGATAATTAGCCTTCTATTTTGGAATTTTTTGACTTTTTTCGCTTGGTAATAAAAATTGCCGATAAGTTTACCATAGTCTCTAATATCCTTCGGGAGTCTAGATAGGTGGGTGGAACCATCCAATTTGTCTTTAAACGACCAATTTACCGGTTTACAACTTGCACCGATTTCATTAACTCAAGCCTATATCACGAACATTTATGAAAATAAATAATGATCATATATGGTTCCAAACGACAACATATGACCACGAGATGTATTCCCTAGAATTTCAAGACTTCTAGACATCGGGTCTCAAAAAGTCCAAAATTTCTCAAAAAAGCGTGGATATTATTCTTCAATTTTTTAATTTTATGACTTTTTTTCGCCCTGAAATAAAAATTGTCGAACTGTTTACCATAGTCCCTAAAACCCTCCGTGAGTTCAATTGGGTGGGTGGAAACATCTAATTTGTTTTTTAACGGCCTAATTACCGGTTTAAAACTTGCACGGATTTCATTAACTCAAGCCTACCACGAACATTTATGACAACATATAATGATCATATATGGTTCCAAACGACATTATATGTCCCCGAAATGTATTCTCTAAAATTTCAAGACTTTTCGACATCGGGCCCCGACACCGCTAAAATTTCTCAAAAAGCGTGGATATTAGACTTCGATTTTGGAATTTTTTTAACTTTTTTTCCCCCGAAAATAAAAATTGCCGAAATGTTTACCATGGTCCCTAATACCCTCTAGGAGTCCAATAAGCTGGGTGGAACCATCCAATTTGCCTTTAAACGGTCAATTTACCGGTTTACAGCTTGCACTGATTTCATTAACTCAAGCCTACTACAAACATTTATGACAACATATAATGATCATATATGGTTCCAAATGGAATTATATGACCCCGAGAGGTACCCCCTAAAATCTTAAGGCTTTTCAACACCGGGCCCCAAAACCTCCAAAATTACTCAAAAAACGTGGATATTAGCCTTCAATTTTGGAATTTTTTGACTAATTTTCGTCCAGAAATAATTTTTCTAAAATATTTACCATGGTCCCTTATACTCTCCGGGCGTCCAATTGGGTGGGTGGAACTATACAATTTGCTTTTTAACGACCAATTTACCGGTTTACAACTTGTACTGATTTTATTAACTCAAGTCTATCAGGATCATTTATGACAACATATAATGATCATAAATGGTTTCAAATGGAATTATATGAGCCCGAGATGTATCCCCTAAAATTTCATGGCTTTTCGACACTGGGTCTCGAAACCTCTTAAATTTCTCAAAAAGTGTGAATCTTAGCCTTCAATTTTTGAATTTTTTGACTTTTTTTCGCCCGTAAATAAAAATTGCCGAAATATTTACCGTGGTCTATAATACCTTCTAGGAGTCCAATTGAGTGGGTGGAACCATCCAATTTGCCTTTAAACGACCAATTTACCGGTTTACAACTTGCACCGATTTCTTTAATTCAAGTCTACCATGAACATGTATGACAACAAATAATGATCATATATGGTTCCAAACGGCATTATGTGACCCTGAGATGTATCCCATACATAGAGTTACAAGACTTTTCGACACCGGGCCCCGAAACCTCCAAAATTTCTCAAAAAACGTGGATATTAGCCTTCAATTTTGTATTTTTTTTTAACCTTTTCCGCTCGAAATTAAAAATTGTCGAAATGTTTAACATGGTCTCTATGGCGTGATAGGGTATAAAATATATTCCTGAGCCTCAACCATTAGTTTAAGATTTTGGTTGAATTGGTTCTCTAACTGACAATAATATCATAAAGTATAAGTTATATATGTCAAAAAAAAAAAAAAAAAAAAAAGGCCAGGAGGAAAAACAACAAAAATATAAGAGTGGAGATTAGATTTGAAATTAAATATCAAAAAAAGATTAGATTAGAAATATGATGCGACAAGTGCACAATAATTATGGATGAGGATCTTCATTAATGGACCCATTTTTCTTGCTCACCTAATTACAAACTATATAAGTCAAGAGATTAAAAGATTATTACCATGACTAACTTTGAAAACAAACCCTTTTTTCCCTTCTTTTTTTGTTGTTTAGAGAGCCACAAAGGCGAGGGTGATGAGAACCGATCCCATGATCATCTAAAATCGGGAGGGAGCTCTAACCACTTGAGCTATCCCTCACTCTCTTTTTTTTTTTCTTCTTTTTGTATTTAGGAAAACACACATTCTACAAGTGGGGTAGCTCCTGGCTATTTCAAGTATTATTTGGATGTTATCTGCATTAAGGTGGTTCTTACTATTACTTGTATAATTGTGAAAAAAAATGGAATAAAGATTTAAACATTATGCTAGTATGCCATTATGAAGAATAACCATGCATCAAGAATTTATTTAAAAGTATTAATGTTAATAATGTATGTGACACAAAAAAATTTCTGAAAATGTAAATTTTGAGTGTATATGTTTCTTTGCTTGAGAAATTAGCTACTCCATAACTTTAGTCTTTCAAAGGCGCATGAGATTAGCTACTAACAACTATTAGTCTATTACGCACATTATTTCACTTTCTTTTCATTAAGTCTCATACAATAATAGTATAAAATTAAAATTAATTATGTAAAACCTTTTTCTAAAAATAGAAGAGCGTTTATATTTTTCATATCATAGGATCGGATGTGTTATTAATGTTTATATACTTCCAATCATGTACTATCTTAGAAATATTAATGGAGATATCAAAAAATTTACTAGTAGTTTGAATGCTTGAAAAAAAAAAAGTGGACATTTAGGGGTATAATGACGCAAGAAGTGCTCAAAAATGGAGTCCACAAAGGCGAACCTCGTGGAAATGTTTAGAGAATGGAAGTTAGTGTATTAAATGTGAGATGGTTTTATGCATGAATTCTGAAACCACTATCAAACTTCCCATGCAACTTATGCTCCCTCAACCTATGTTCTCTCTTCACTACACTTGACTATTGGATTTAATTTCTTCATTTTCAATATTATTAAGATTTAATTAAGACTTAAGAGGGGTTATTCTCAAAAAAGACTTAGAGCAAGTTTAGCCCCAAGTCTTAAGACTTGGATGTGACATCATTTTTTATGGTCCCCATTGAAAATGATGTCATCAAATTCTTGTTAAGACTCACTAAGATTTACACAAATTTATCACTTTAGCCCTAAGACTTTAATATTTGACATATTATATGTAGAAAAGTGTAAAAAAAAAATAAAAAAAAAAGATAATAAAAAAAAAGTGAAGTGGGTGAAGTGGGTCCCAATCTCAAGTCTTAAGTTGAGTCTTGAAATTTCAAGACTCAACTTGAGACTTGCTTGAGATTTTTGAAGAAAAATGGGAAAAGTCTTAAGTATAAATCTTAAGACTCAATTTGATGATGTCACCCCAAATCTTAAGACTTGGGGCTAAACTTGCTCTTAAGAGGGGTGACTTTAAACAATTTATGTATGTACCCCTTGCTTGAGGTGTAAAAGTTTTTTTTTTTTGGGTGCAAATGACTGAAATGAGGGCCAAGCCCGGTACAAAACAAAAGAAATTAAACAACTAAACGAAGTGTGGTCACTCCTAAAATATCAACCAATTTGATCAGGATTGACCTTCACGAGGATTGACCTCATTCCATTTTTTAAAAGGGTTGACATGTTTAAGGGTTTGTTTTGTTCAGCTTAATTTCAGTTCAATTAAGTTCAGCTTCAATCAGTTCATTTTCTAATTTTCTTCTCTCATAAACAATTTATTTCAGCTATTCAGTTCTGTTCAATTCAGTTCATTTCAGCCCCAATCAGTTTAGTTCAGTTATTTTCATTCAGTAAATCTGAACATGCCCTAAATACCTTAAAATTATTATATTATCAAAGTGTTTTTAAAAAACATGTGAATAAAAAAAAAAGTCTAAAGTCTTTTATTGAGCAATAGGTGACTAATAACTATCCATCGTTGAACTCTTTACTCAAAATCAATTGATGTTGAGTACTATTCAAAAAAAAAAAAAAACAAAAACAAAACAAAATTGATGCTGAGTAAATATTTGTAGAATGTATATATTAACTCTAGGATTGAAATTTCTTTGAGTGATCACAACTCACAACCTTTATACCTTAATAATAAGGTTAAAAAAGATGATCTCTAATCAAAATTTTAATTCAAATCTTTTTCCTCCTTTTACATGTCTTGTTCAACTGAGGATTTGTTCTCTTTATATTATTTTCAGTTCAGTTCAGTTCAGTTCAGCTCCAATCAGTTCAGTTCAGTTTAGTTCAGTCTTAATTTCTTTTTCTCGTAAAATATTTAGTTCATCTCAGCTCCAATTAGTGCTGTTTAATTCAGTTCAGTCAATCAAAACAAACCCTAATCCTCTAATAATTTGAAAATAATACAAAATTAATATCTATATGGATCAACTAGCTATTTATAATGATCTCACTAAAAAAAATATTTATTTAAAGACATAATGTAGATCTCTATGCATATGTGAGAAGCAAATGTTTCAATTTTGAAACCACGATTTGAACCCAAGCTAGGAAACAGGACAATCATGTACATTAGCTGATCTGCCAACAATTAATCATCCATATGTATACAGTAACTAAAGCCATCATTATAACCAAACCCTAAGGGCTTGTTTGACATCATTTTTGATTTTCAGTTTTCTGTTTTTTTGAAAACAAAAAACCAAAAACAGGAAACAAGAAAAAGGTGTTTCCACTTTTCTGTTGTCAGTTTTCAAAATTATTATAATTTTAACATGTTTAAATAATTTTTGATTTATTATGAGACATATATCCTATACTTTTAAAAAAAACAAAAAACTAAAAAAACAGAAAACCACAGCAATGCCAAACGAACCCAAGTTAAATAATTAATTAACAATATGTTCAGTTTAATCACTTCATTTAAGGATTAATTAAGGATGATATATGTATTAAACATATGCTGCCAATCTGCCACTGTATAAGTAAATTGTATAATATGATTTTTGGGTTGTACTAGAAGTCTAGAACTATAGTTTAAATATATAGAATGCTCTATATAACTAACACATTAGTTTATCTTTCTCAAACCATCATATTATATTGTAATATGCAACTAGCGTACACATATTAAGGGGGTATGAGTAATGAACTAATGACACAAATAAATTCTTTGTACTTTTTTCTAATCCTTAATTTCCTCCGATTTGGAAATAGGTATAATACAATTCATACATCTACTTTGATTTAATCGCTATTTATTAAGAATTTAAGTTTTAAATAAATTATTCGGTTTCAACTTAATGTAGTAAAAGTTCTACGGAGTAAATTATATTTAGAGAAATTCAATGAGACCTCTGTGTTATTTAAATTTGAACTGGCTAGAAGCTGGAACAATACAAACTATTTAATATATTCAAATAATGGTTAATAAATACATACAAAGTACAGACTATAAAATAAGTTTAAACAAAATATATAAGTTTGAATATATTTTGATAAAGGGGCTAATAACAGTTATCAAAGTTCAATTTACAACTATCAAACTCTGGAGTCTTAGACAAAATCATAATTTGATAGTTGTAAATTACTAAATTGAACCTTGAAAACATACACACTTATTAAAACTTATATCAACCATTAATTTGATCATCAATTATTCAATACACTAGCTATCTCGAGAAAAATTACAACTCGTGTAGTCCAAAAATGCAAACTTAGGTCAAAGCACTAGCTCGACCCTAAAAGCCAAGATGATCGTAAAATGGCTCATCTCAACTTAATCAATTTGGGCATTAAATTCTATCACAGGGCAATCCACCTCAAATTACCTAGACTAATACGATATACTCAAGTCTCACTTTAAAATACAAAGTAAAATCTTATTAGGCCGTAAATACAAAAGTAACAATTTTAAGTTAGGGGTGTTAATTTCCTTCAAAAAAAAAAGTTAGGGGTGTTAATTTGAGTCATTAGATCGAGTTCAGTCAAATCTAGCCAGGTTGGAGTACTATTTAAATTTGCATCATGCTAATTCATGACACCCATACAAATCAAAATTTGGATCAAGCTATTTTCAATTCAAATTACTCGGTAGATTGGATCGAGTCGGTTTTTAAAAACTCTAGACCGAGTAAGGAGATGAGGTGCCAATCTCAACTCCCTCTTCTCTTCTTCTTCAACCGCAATGATCCTTACTGCCCGAACAGTGAGGTGTAGTAGTCCCCCCCCCACTCTCTCTCTTGAAAATGGTCGTGTGTAAGTGACCTGGTATTCTCATTTTCAAAACCCCACCTCTTTCTCTCTCCTACCCAGTCACTCTCTCTTTCAACAACAACTGCTTTCTCAGCCCCTCCCTTTCCCCCCTCTCTTTGATTTTTGATTCAAAAATCAAATCCTCTTACCATCAAATCTTCCAAGAACAATTAAAATTTTAAATACCCAATTGTCAAACCATTTTCTAGAACTAAACCTAATCAGTTATCTCTCAATCATTGTGAAAGATCGTGGGTTTTCTTTGAAAAATATTTAATCTTTTGTTTTTTTCACCCACTACCCAGAAAACTGAAGAACTTCCCTTTTCCCATTTGTTCTGTATTTGTCTCAGATCGAGTTGGTTAATGTTGCTGTAATTCCCAGGTGATCAAAATGCTCTCTTTTTAATTCTTTCTGGCTGTTTTTTAGTTTGATTTTTAGTAGAAACTTTGTTGGTTTCTGGGTTTCTTTGTTTTGTTTTGTTTTGTTTTTGTGGGTTGGATTTGATACATGTTTAGTGAATTTGGGGGATCTAGCTCTTGGTTTTGCATAATGGGGTTTTTGAGATTTGAAGTATAATTGTTTCTTTTAAGTTATTGTGACCTAATTTTGCTATGAACTTAGTTCACTTGTTCTAGGAAAGTGAAGTGAATGAGTTGACAAATTGTAGTTGAAATCATGAAGTTGAAGTGACTTTAGGCTGTTTGGTTATTTGAGAGAATATTATGAAGTTCTGATTGATAATGAGTTGAAAGTATCAATTATCAACTATTGGTGTTTAAGTGTTGGATATATCATGTTATCAAGAATTCTGGATTCTATTTATGTTTAGCGATTAAAAATTCTTATGATGAATGATGTTGATTCTTGTTTTTCTGATCCACTGCATATTTATGATGAGATGCTCAAATTATAATACGGATGATTGTGTTAGACTCGGGTATGTATCCGTTTGCGTGGTATCTAGAACTGCTACTTGTAGAATCTGTTATTTGCTGGGCAGTGAACTTATCATGTCTTGAAAGAGAAGTTTTGGACTGTAATTATGGTACTCGGCAATGCAATGGAAGAAAATCGACAAGGTTTTCAGTTTTTGTTGTCATTTGCAGTTCTATGTGATGTATTAGGCCCAATGAGATGGAGGATGAGTTTACAGTTGAGTGTGTGATTGTGGCAGAAGCGGGGGCATATTAGTGCACCAAGCTTTCCTTAAAAGTTGTAGTAAGATGGAGGCCTTTAATGCTGAAAACCTAATGCGCTTACCACTAATATGGGGTGATTGTCTTACCTTTGCATCAAGGATCAACTCCGAATTTATGATTTGTGGTAGAATGTTTCAATATTAGTATTAAAATTGATTTTCAAAATTATGAAATGTTCGTCCATAATCTAGTGCAACAGTATTCTTCGCTGCTAAATATAATAAGCTCAAATAGCGAATGTGTAACAGCTATCTGTGGATGCCTAATATTTTTCAACATTCTTAATTAGTACTACATAATTGCTCATTTTGAAATTAGATTGATTGGTTATGTTGTCTTCTAGAGTGAATCCACCCATACCTTTAATTTGACATTCCAATGTAATTCTTGGAAGTTGGAACTAACACAGTTCTTTATCAATGTGCAGCTGATGATGGATGCTGACACTGATATCGTTACTGGTATGGTTGGTGTTGTTGATCTAAATGGTGCTCAATATGATCACCATGGCTCGGGGGAGGAAGACATTGCAGCGGAGATTAATGGAATTCCTGGAAGCAGTATGGTGGGTGTAGGTCCTGATGCTTACCAAGAAAATGGTACTGAGTTAAATGGAACAAGGATGGTTGATTCTACTCAAGGAGTGGAGGAGCTTGCTCATGTGTCTGTGGAAATCAGTGGTTCCGCAGCTTCTGAGGTACATTGCTTCAGTCATTTATTTTTGGGGATACATGCTCATGAGCTTGTTGCTATGTTTCCTGCTTATTGTATACCTATTGGTTTTTAGGAGGTGGAAACAACAAAAAATAAAGATGTGAAGGAGCTCAAAGTCAGGGCCAAAAATGAGAAGCCTTCAAACACAAAAAAGGTTGCGGTGACATCAATGAAGAAGAAAACCAACAATAAAGAAGTTAAGGCAACTTCAAATGGTGCTCTGTCTGTGAATACGCAGCCAAAACAGCCTATTGTAAAGACCAAATCTTTTAATGATCGTCATGCTACTAGTAGTAATCCGAGCAAGACCACGAAACCTGCATCTGTGATTAGCAACACCCACAAAGCTAAGGTGGATACTTTTTTAGTTTTGGCTTGGCTAATGGCCCCTCTTTTTTCAGTTATATGCTAACAGTAAGTCATTTTAATTATCCAGCAGCCTGTGAAGACTGAATTGATGTCTGGCTCTGAAAAGTCTGTGACTTGTGAAGGCACTGTGTAAGTTTTGTTGCTGTAATTTATATTTTTATTTTCCTCTTAAACCTGGTATGTACATGTATTAGAAGCGTTTGATTATTAATACTGCCATACTGGCTGCTTTGTTTATAAAATGTATTATAATCTTTGTTTAACAGAATTTTTGAAGCTGTAGATGAGTTATTAGCTTACTACACTTTCTCTTCACTGATCATTTTTAACTTAATATTGTTTGTATGCAGGGAAAAGCCCAAATTGAAGCCCCTCAAGAAAGAACGTCCAACTACTAGCGATGGAAATGGGGAATCTTCTGAGTATCCTTTTTTAATGTTGATCTTTCTGCCTTTTTCTCCCTTTTCTTCCTTGCTCAAAATTGATTAGGGTAAAAAGACATATTTACCAAGGTTTATAATTTTGTTTGATTGTTTGTAATCCGTCTCTGAGTTTATTTGTCAGATTATCCTTAATTACTTTGCAGAAGCCCCTCTGCAGCGGATGCCAAGGCCCGTAGAGAGGGTAAACTTCCATCTTATGGTTTCAGCTTTAGGTGTCATGAACGAGCTGAGAAGAGAAGAGAGGTTTGTGTTTGCTCCTTATTCACTTCAGGGTTATTTCACTTGCGTCGACTATGCTCTTAAATAACTTGGATTTTGGCATGTTCTTGCTGCTGGACAGTTTTATACCAAACTCGAGGAAAAGATTCATGCGCTCGAAGAAGAGAAAAATAACATGCAAGCGAAGTCCAAGGTTATTTTTTTAATGCTTATGCTTTTACTCTTCTGAGGAGAACCATTGCTTGGGAATACATTTTATTCTCGTGCTGAATTATGTTTGTTAGCAGGAATCTCAAGAGGCTGAGATTAGGATGCTTCGGAAAAGTTTAAATTTTAAAGCAACACCAATGCCTAACTTCTACCAGGAACCTGCACCTCCTAAAGCTGAACTTAAGAAGGTATTTCTTTCCCCCTTATAGCTCTTTATGGGCATTTTATGCTTATTGTGTGCAACCAAACTGTTATCTGTAGTGATTTAATAACTGTAGCTTTTTCAGGTCTCGATTAAGCTTCTGATGTCTTGTACTTAAGCTTGCTAACCATGTTTACACTTGTAGAGCTTTAAGTATTTGTTGTGAGTTGACTTGCAGCATCACATATTCTTTGATTATATTTTTCATCTGGAGGAAGTTTTATGTGAGATTGTTTCTACTTTCTAGAGCCTCCAATTTATTTGCAGGACCAGAATAGGTATGTTATGCGCCTTTCTGACTCAATATGGTGGTATCTGTTGCCTGTTGGGCCTCCTTTTCTTTGTCGATAAGACAAGGGGATTTCCTACTCGTACGCCATTAAGAAGTCTAGTTTCCTCTTGATCTGTGTTATTCCATACATTATATTGTTAGGTAGGCTATTGGATTTGAATGCTTTGGGTATAAAATATTAAAATAGGTATTCCTTCTAGTTTCCTTTGTTACTGGTTTGTGCCGTGATATCATGTCAACAAACTATGTAGATAAGCGTACATAATACTTAAAATTAAATCCAAAAATGATGGTTCCACTTTTGACTACTTTGCTTTAAGTTGCAATTTATAACGGTCAGAGTCAAATGTTACCTATTGTTTAGATACTGAAGGTAGTATTGGAGTACTACATATTATTTAAGGACCTAGGTTCTAGGAATATTTATATATTGCGGGGTCAATTTGATAGCAAAGGATTGGATTGAGGTGCTTTTACAAGTTACTGATAACCAGAAATGCATTGTTGGCAAGGTAAAATGGGGCTGGATGTATGTAACTTTACTTGGTGACATAATTTTTGCCGTTTGCATCAAAGAAAACCTTGGATTTCTGGTGAGACATGTGCTTCCCCTCCATCTGTCCTGAATGAAAATGTTATTGGGGTTAGCAGCATATATTTTTTTTCTTGGCATTTAAGTTATAAACTTAAAGGAGCAGGACGTTTGCAGTTGTTTTGTTAGACATGCTTTTAATTTTAATTCACTGACAGTACACTTCCCTTCCTATGCTCTTTGATGGTCGTAGCTGTAGCTTTGCTTTTATCACTCTTAAATGTCAAATATGATCTATAATTTCTATTTGCCTCCTGATTCAGATACCAACTACACGTCCCAGATCGCCCAAGCTAGGTAGAAAAAAGAATTCATCATCAATGGAAGCTGAAGATGGGGACCAAAATCAACGATCTGGAAGACTAAGCTTGAATGTGAAGACGGTCTCACAAACCAACTCTAGCAAAGGACCTTCTCCTGTACAGTCTAAACGGCCTCAGAGGAAGTCCCTCCCTAGATTGCCTTCCGAGAAGACACGCTTGTCGAAAAATGCTAAAGTGCTGGATCATCCGGTAAATGGGTCTCCACCTATAGCACGTGTTGAGGAGGATGTTCCTCTGTCAAACCCCGAATCTGCTCCTATTGCCCATGTGGAAGAGGAAGTTTCTCCCTCTGACCCTGGTTCTGCACCGATTGCTCATGTCGATGAGGAAGATCCAACATCTGACCAGGGTGAAGCTCATTCTGAAATTGAGGACGGGCCTATTGTTGAAGATCTAGTCCAGCTCCCAATCAAGCAAGAAGTTGTATCAGAGCATTGAAGATAAAGCTTGGGTGCAGTTGGATTCATTCGCCTCCACGAAGTGTTGGCTTAGTAGAACATGATTATGCTGTCAATGAAGCAATTTGTCCATAGTTTGGTGAGGTTTGGTTGTTCTTGCCTTTTAGAATGCCAGTCTGGTCGCTTAAGAGTCTGCATTTGCACTTTCTCTGGATTGTCCGGTCACTGCTTTTTCGAGTTGTTTATCCATAAGAATCTATTGCTCCTATTTAATTACACTCTTTTAGTGGTCTTCCATTGAAGTGTGGTTGTGGGTAAATTTTGGGATTCTCTCGTACACCAGTTGTAGTTTATGATACATAAGTAGCTTATGGGGGATGACTAAATTGATCAAATTGGCGTAGTTTGCATTTGGAACAATATTTTGTTATTTACAATGTTTATTCTTCCAACACACCCTTATGCTGTCGCTATAATTTGAGTTTGAGCAGGTTTTTTTTTTTTTTTTTTGATCATCTTGTTGCTGACTCTGAACGGTCTTTGCCTTAGTCTTTTTCTTCAGCATCCCACAGAAATCTTGCATATGATGCGAGAATGTAACTGCATTGCATTGACATTATTGCAGAGTTGTATCAGGAAAAATACAAGGATGCATGTGAGAAAACTTAAGGAACAGAATGCAGAAAACCCATCTTGATTTGAATGTCAAATTACTCACCCACTCATTGCCTATTAGAAGTTGGAAATGGGTTGCTTGAGTCAATTTTTATATGACTCAAGTGTGTTTGGATATTAGCCATTTAGGTCATATTCGAGATATGAGTTACTTGGTACAGGGTCAGGTCAGCATGGGTTTGTTGCTCAGGCTGAGTCACAGTTTATATCACATTGAATTTTTGGGTCGAGTTGAGTCCAATACAGGCTGTGTAACGTTCAGATAAATAGGTAAGTAATAATAGTGCTAGGTTTACTGCCTCGTGTACGATGTACCTGTCATTAGGGTTAGAGAGAACAGCTTGGTGAAAATAAGTCTCAGCTCGAGTAACATCCTTGCTGATTTGCCATATTAGTTCCCCATAGAGAGAGAGTACATTCCCATCTTCAGCTTTCGCCAGTGTTGCTCGTTCACAGTATTCTTCTGCTTTGGCCAAATCACCTTTAACCTGTATGACATTAAACCAGAAAACTGTCATTCTATAAAAACTTTGGTTTGGTTATATTATCGGATGATGCATAAGAATCATAACTCAGTATCGTACCTCTTTCAGAAATCTAGCATAGTTTCCCAGAAGCAGGGCATTTCCAGGATTATCTTTGATCATGTTCTTGTAATACTGATCTGTGTTTCCATCAGACTCGCCTCTGAGCATGCACAATCTTGATATGTTGCTGCGTGACGAATATATATTGATGGCTTGGGATGGGATGCGCGATGAGAGTGAAACCGGGATGGATAGTGTTGCTAGAGTATGGGTTGAGTTTATTCCAAGAATCATTTCTATCGCGAAAAAGCTTGACTTGTTGGGACTATTAGAGAGAAGTAGAACTGTAGAAGGCTGAACTTGTTGAGAATTTGGTTTAACAAACAAGTTTAGCATCTAGTTCAACCCACAAACCCTGAGGGCCTGAGGTCCATAAGGAATCAAATGTTTGATAATTATATTTTAAAATGAAACACACTAGTTTATTGTACTTGTTAATTGAAAGTTTTATTTTTGGTAGAATCTATGACATGGCTCATTAACTGATCAAATGTTTTTGGAAATTTATTCTTTTAATCCAAATCTCGTATTTTTCAAAGGTTACATTGCTAACGTAGTGCAATGTAAGTATACATCGATTAGTTTTTGAATACCCGTGACAATTTAACTTATGTGACATATCTTAAGATGGATTTCAGTCTTACACATGAAGCGTTGAACCTTAATTATTTTGCAAAAAAAAATTATAATGTACATAGAATATTCTCCTAAAAAAAAACCTTTTAATGTTTCGTGTTCATTAGTTTCGTTCATAGGTGATTCCCCTTCATTATAGCCAACAGCAAGAAAGGGATCAGATTATAAAATAAAATGGTTAAAGAAGTCAGCCGAAGTGTACAACTTACTACGTAGTAATTAGAGCTTAGTTACGACACGGTCGTGTTAATTGTTCATTAAGCTTTGCTAATCATCAACTTGAGATTTTTTAGGCACTTTAAATTAGACTAAAGTTGAAGCTTTTGCAACCACATCGTAGAAGACAATATAGTTGGCTTGGAATAGTAAGGTTATAGGGAGCATGATGCTTATCATAAATTCATAATACTACAACTTTCACCAATATAACCAAAAAAATCAACTAATTTCTCTGTTTTTCAGATAGTTGATGTACATAGCTAATTACCCTTTACACTATCATATAAGTATATAACCATCTCTAAAATAATAGTCTATTGTAAGAATTTTCCTACTAAATCTACACGTAACATATTAAATAATCTACATGCAACATACTCATTAAGACAAGCTTTAAGGGACAGAGAGAGTGGTTCGTATTTTCGTAACTCTTGAGAGGTTGAAGTACAACTACTTCGTTGGACTATGAGAGTGATTACCATTTTACAATTTGGCGTTGACCCGTTGACCGTTGACAATTTGAGTTGTTATAGGTTCCTTTCATTGATTCCTCTTTTCACAAATATCGGCAATAGTTCAACAAATTCTGTGGACCGTATTTGATAAGAAAATTCAGCACGGTTTAGTCTAAATTTGTGGATTTAAAATAAAAGACCAAGTATTTGAGGACGTTGGAAGTTTGATTTCATAATTTGTTAGAGTTAGCACAAGTTTCACATGTTGCATGACAAATCATGTGGAGTTAGTCGGTCGATTAGGAAAAACATGGACAGTCAAGAGTTATCCGGTTAGGAATTACTCGTATGTCAGCCGGCCACAAAAAAAACAAGCTAAAATTGAAAGGCAATTTAAAATTGAAAGGTTGTTTAAATTGAAAGGTTGTTTACAATTTCAGGTAGTAAGAGACCAAGTGTTTGGCTTTGGAAGTTTGATTTCAAAAGATTTAATAAGCAAATAAAATTAAAAAAAAAAAAGGTTGACTGTTTATTACGAAATAGAGGGAGTAGATGACAAGTTGAGAATTATGATTAATGAGAAGTGGAAATCCTAAAAGGCCCAACTTACTGCTCCAATTTCGGTGGGGTATGGACATAATTTGACGCAAATTTTAAGATGCACCACGCCTATACTTTTGAACATTTAGTAAAAAAAGCTGAACAATTGCAAATTTTGAACATGTAGTAAAAAACTGAACATCGCAAATTTTGAACATTTAGTTAAAAAATCTGAACAATCGCAATGCATCACATCTATACTTTTGAACATTTAGTAAAAAAATCTTAACAATCGCGAGTTTTGAACTTTAGTAAAAAAATTTGAACATCGCAAATTTTGAACATTTAGTAAAAAAAATCTGAACAAACACAATGCACCACACATATACTTTTGAACATTTAGTAAAAAAATATGAACAATAACAAATTTTGAACATTTAATAAAAAAAATATGAACAATCACAAATTTTGAATTATTGCAAGTCAAACAAATTTTGAAAGAAGTTTGTCTAACTCGTAATAATTCAATAGTTTTGTAATATAAATTGAACATTTAATGTATACAAAATGAACATTTATTTATAAAATATGAACATAAAAATTGCATGTTTATGTTCAGTTTTAGTGACGTGTTCATATTTTTGTAAAATGTTCAAATTTTTTTACTAAATGTTCAAAAATATAGGAGTGGTGCACCTATCATGGTGCACATAATACTAACTGTAATTTGAAACCAAGAGCATCAAAGGGACCCGACAATTTTCTGCTACAAAGGCCCAACAGTATAGCTCATACGAAGTACTCCGTATATTTTTTTTTTCCATACTGACTATATAATGATTATTGAAGCTTTATTTATTTTTTTAAAATTTTTTTTTTTTTACTAACTAAGAAAAGGGTTTTTCTCATGTATAGAAGCTAAGGTGAGATAATGCCCTTCAATTTTAGAATTTTTTGACTTTTAGTGCCCGGATATAAAAATTGCCGAAATATTTACCATGGCCCCTAATACTCTCCGGAAGTCCAATTGGGTAGGTGAAACCATCCTATTTGCCTATAAACGACTAATTTACCAGTTTACAACTTTCACCGATTTCATTAATTCAAGACTATCACAAATATTTATGACAACATATAATGATCATATATGGTTCCAAACGACATTATATGACCCCGAGATGTATTTCCTAGAATTTCAAGACTTTTCAACATCAGCTTCTTAAGACTCCAAAAATTCTCAAAAGAGTGGATAATAGCCTTCAATTTATGAATTTTTTGACTTTTTTTCGCTCATAAATAAAAATTGCTGAAATGTTTACCAAAGTCTCTAATACCGCCCGGGAGTCCAATTGGGTGGGTGGAACCATCAAATTTGCTTATAAACGGCCAATTTAAGTTTACAACTTGCGCCGATTCATTAACGGAGCCTACCACAAACATTTATGACAACATATGATGATCATATATGGTTCCAAACGACACTATATGACCCCAAGATGTATCACCTAAAATGTAAATATTTTACGAAACCAAACCCCGAAACATCCAAAATTTCTCAAAAAGCGTGGATATTAGCCTTCAATATTGGAATTAATTTACCTTTTTTTTGCCCGAAATTAAAAATTTCCGAAACATTTACCATGGTCCCTAATATCCTCCGGGAGTCCAATTGGGTTGGTGGAACCATCGAATTTGCCTTTTAACAACCAATTTATCAGTTTACAACTTACACCGATTTCATTAACTCAAGCCTACCACGAATATTTATGACAACAAATAATGATCATATATGGTTCCAAACGGTATTATATGACCCCGAGATGTATCCCCTAAATTTCAAGACTTTTCGACACTGAGCCCATAAACCTCTAAAATTTCTTAAAAAGCGTGGATATCAGCCTTTAAGTTTGGAATTTTTTTGATTTTTTTTCGCCTGGAAATAAAAATTGCCGAAATGTTTACCATGGTCCCTAATATCCTCCGGGAGTCCAATTGGAATAGTGGAACCATCCAATTTGCCTTTAAACGACCAATTTACTAGTTTACAACTTGCACCGATTTCATTAACTCAAGCCTACCACGAACATCTATGACAACAAATAATGATCATATATGGATCCAAACGGCACTATATGACCCCGAGATGTATCCCCTAGATTTTCAAGGCTTTTCGACACCAAGCCCAGAAACCTCAAAAATTTCTCATAAAGCGTGGATATTAGCTTTCTACTTTGGATTTTTTTTTTTACTTTTTTCGCCCACAAATAAAATTGCCGAAATGTTTACCATGGTCCATATTACCCTCTGAGAGAACAATTGAGTGGATGCAACCATCCAATTTGACTTTAGACGACCAATTTA